AGGCGGCAGCCACGGCCGGGGTGCTGGATGCAGGCACTTCTTCCTTCTCCATGTTGATATCTTCCCCAATTCTTTGCCAGCTTGTCCCTCGACTTAGGGACAGTGACTGGAGCTCAGGAGCCCAATATGGTTAAGGTAGAAAATGCTAGTTTTTGGGTTAATGTCATGGTTCTGATAGATTAAACCCTTCAAAAAAAACTTCGAGGCATTGTTTTCCTTAAGGAATCTTTTATTCGGGAAACAAAGTATTGGCACTACATAGTTGAACCCAAAAACTAAATTCCCTTCCCCCTGATACAAAGTAACAAACTGCAATTCCCACCCCCAATAAACTGTCATAAATCACATTCCCCAATTAGCTTAAAGCGTGGGCTTTTTATGGGGAATAGAAATATAACGAAATTAGGTTAATACTACACTCTGGATAAATCTGAAAACCATGAAAACTGTTAAAATTTCACATCTGATAGAGTATTGATAAAATTATAAGAAAATAATTCTCTGCTTTAAAAGTTGGGGAAAAAATAGCTATTAATATCTAGTGGAGAATTAGAGCATAAAACTATAGCTGCATTGACTTGAAATTGGCAAGATGCCCAGAATAGAGAACAACTTGTTCCTTTGAACTTCAGTGACTTCTAAATAAACAGAAAACAGCTGGGAACAAAGGAAAGAAAATATACTGGGCTATCTACTACAGAGTGAGAACTATATTTGTTTAGAAACTATTGACCTTCTGTGATTATAAATACACTGAGCTGCAATTTTCAAGCTCAAGAACTGTTTGCAGAAAAAGAAAAACCTTGACTTTTGGCTAATCTTCTAAGGGGGGAGTTACTGGAAAGCTTTCAGGTGGTTAAACATTCTGGACTGAAATCTTGGCTGGTTGATAATTATAAGACCCCTGAATAGAAGAACTGTTACAAAATACTGCTTTCAGTGGTGCTTTGATAATTGGAAACGTATTGGAGTATAAAAACCATATATAAAGATAAGAACTAGGTAAGATTTTATTGTTTGGATTTTAAGTGGCTGTTTTGACAAGGCTAATCAAAGAGACTATGGTACCCGTGAAAAACTATCAGGGGGGGAGACAAAATGGATGTTGTACATCTATCTAAAAATGACAGGAAACCACACCTAATACTCCCTCCTGAAGATCTCATCCTGGAATATCAGAGTTCTGTAAGAGCAATGGCTCAAGACAAAGCAAACACATTTCAGGAGAAAATGTATGCAATGCTGCGACAGAGTCAAATGACAATTGTTTCAAATCGTGAGATCAAAAACAACTTTGATGATATAAATAAGCATATCTCTGATGTAAACTTACAATTAAAAAACTCAAAAATGACAATAAAGAATGAACAAACAAATCAGATAATAGAACACAGACCAGAGGAAAGTGATTTAAATATGGAAGCTACAAATGAAGAGAACTGCAACTTAATACAAACAAAAGAAAATCTGCAAGATTTTACTACAACAAAGGAAATAAAAAAGATGTTTTATCTTCCAGGACTTCAAAACAAACTTGAGGACAAGAAAGAAGATCTAACAAAATGAATTAAAGAGGTGTCAGGAAAATCATTAAAGTTTGGGAGACAAAAAATGAATATCCTACTTAATTTGTCTTTTTTATCCCCAACAATATCTACAAAAATACAGCAAAAATCCCCATGCAAGCTGAACATACTGAATTGGAAAGCGACCTGGCAAAAAAAGAAGGCTAGAGTCAGATTTAAGAGACTTGATTCGACTTACCAGATGGAGTACTATATGATTAAACACTTGTTTGAATACGGTTAAAAGAACAGATAAAGTTTAGATATAAAAGGGATTTATAGTAAGAGGAATAAGATATATAAGTAGTATAATACTTTTCACAATACATGAAATGTAAAAATATTGGGATGGTGTATGTGAATGAAAAGTTTGGATATTTAAAAATAATTAATTTTGGGGAAATTATGACTGATAAGAGCGGTTTGAATACAGTGGGGAAATTAAACTTAAATAAGAATTTTGAAAACAGGACACATAATGACTTAATAAGATGACTTTTATAAATACAATTGAAATATAAACCGATTAAAAAAGATATTATATGTTGATGTTATTGTTCGTTGTACAAATACTAGAAAAATGTTTATCCTCAACCTTGTATATATCAAAAATATTAAGAATTATATTTGTTTAATGCAGACAAAAGGAGAATACTACTGGAAGAAAAGAAGATCAAGGAAATATATCATTGACTAACATTAATTACATAAATTAATTATTATTGATTGTTTTTAAATATATGAACTCAGACAACACAGTTTGCTAAACACTAGGGATTGTTATTGTAAAAAATCAATAAAATATAACACAAAAAAAGATTGTTCACCAACATGCTAAACAAATCACATATGCAGTCCATAAGCAAACTATAATCACAATTTAACATTTATAGCTGTTGTTTCACTTTGACATTGCTCCTGTTGCTATTAATCAGCCGTATTTCCACATGACAGTGTTTCAAACTTTATTACAGTAAATATTTATCTAAATAATTTTTATGTAGCTGGCAGGAAGTTGAAACAATGGCTTTCTAGAATTTTTCAAAAAAATAAAGTAAATTCCATATAGACCTAGTTTTTTAACTTCTGTCTTTACTGACTTATAGCTAACTTTAGAAAATGTCTAATTTATTGCTCTTGTTTGGTAAATAGCTATAAGTAGAATTACTTTACTGTTTCAGCTTCTTTCCTAAACTTACAGTATTTCTCTAGCCTCCTCTAATCAAAGAGCAAAGCTATCTTCTTTCTGAGACTGAGGTATTTCTACTTGAGTTTAATTCTTTGATGATGATCAAATATACTTTGATCATCTAATATCTTCATTCAGATAATCAGAATTCAATTCAATATTCCAAAGTATGCACATGCATTTTATCTTCCCTTCACATACGCAAATCAATTAGGAATTGAAACTTCACCATATTCCCACAATGGGAATTGTGTCTTCAGGAAAGCAACTAAGGCAGCATTTCTTATTATGTTTTTTTTTAAAAAAAAATAACTGTTTTCATCTCATTTGAATGTAAAAGAAAGACCTGGCTGATTCAATATAAAGGGAGGAACAAAGCAGTACAAAAACTGCTTTCAATTAAATGAAACTCGTGCATATTTCAGTATCTCAGATATGATCCTGTAAATGCTCTTACTGCCATCGCTATTGGTTTTTTAAATAATTTATATCCTTTCCCAACTTAAGTACAAAATAATAGTTTTAAAAGAAAGTGAAACCCTTCTATTAATTATATGAAATATTTCATGGATTATTTATAGGAAAGCAATTTAAATTCCAAACAAATTATTTAACAATTACTTTTATCTCACATTCATTCTTTCATGTGTTTCTTTTTTGCTATTTATTTTATTGTGTACTTAGGGAAATTTTAAAAATGGACCCTTTATCTTTTATAATTTCTTTAAATTTTGGGTCTGAACCAATTTAGTTCATAGATTTGAAAAAACAAAGTATAATTCCAGAAATACCATGCATCCCATTTTGTATTAAAGTAAAACTTTCACTACCCTGTCATCTATATATTGAAGGAGACTTTATTTGGAAGAATCCTTGAGATATAAATCTATTTATATCTTGATTTATAATGCCTGCGCATATGGATTTTTTTTCATTGAATAATCTGATTGTCAAAATTGTATTGTATAATATATTAATCTTGCACAGAGTATCCTAAGAACTTCAGATGTAAGAGATAATAGTTTATCTATTATGGCTGCACTTCTGGTTACAAATATATTCAAAAACTGCTAACTCTGCAGATGCCAGGAAAATGGCTGAATGAGACTAAGTAATAATCTATGATATGTAGGTGCTTTTTTATGCTAGCATAGGAATATAGATACCCACTTCTAATAGTGGCTGCCCCTTGCAAATTGGATGCTTAAATTTGCTTTTTAAAAATTGTATTCCCATTGTGTCAGGGATTTTAAAAGAAGGAAAGTCCCTCTGTTAGTGTCAACATACCTTTGTAAGCATTGTTCACTTTTGAGTGTGAGTGGGTGGGGATTTGTTTTTACATAACTCCAAGATTTTGTAAAATATTTTCATTTCCTCTCTCCTACATGATCTTCTTTGTATTATATTTATATTAGTATTTTTTGTTTCTAATTTAAATTTTTCAACTGATTTTAGTACAGTTTATTGCAATGATTTAAAGGAGGAAAAATGAACATATCATTGAATGTCTATAGATCTAGAAATTTATAATTGAATAATAAAAATATATTTACTAACTGTACCCTACTTACTGATGCTCAAATAATTCATCATTTAATAATTCCCCCATCCCTCCCTTTTTCCAGATCATCTGATAAAGAGTACTCAGAAGACTCTCTGAGAGAACTCAGGAGGACTTGGGAGGACTACAGTTCAGGAAACAAGTGGAAAGTATCTGCAAGGACCTTCTATGTAGGACAGGCCACAGTTGCATTACAGTGGAGCCAAGGTAGATCTGGGACATTGCCCAGTGATTACAGATATTCACAGGAAAATGTAAATGAGAAAAGCAAAGATTATGGTGTTTTGCCTCTTGCTATTTCTGGACTACAAATATCAGATAAGAATCAGCACTTTTTAACACATATCAAAGCAGAAGAAAATCTACAGGGGAATTCTAAGAATAAGAAACATGGCTCTTTTCCTCAAAGGCCACCCGCACCCAAACGAGATAAGAAACATGAGCGACAGGATAGCTTTTCAGCTTCACTTGCTTCAGAATCTTTGCTGACAGTGCTCAACAGATCAGCCCAAACGTCCCCTGCTGCTACCAATATAGTAGTAGACAGCTCGTCACCTTCTCAGGTTTCTGCAAAAAAATATGGAAAATTTGTAAGTGCAGAGCTACCAGAGACTGGGCAGTTGGCATCCACAGAAAATGTTTTTCAGCATTTAGAACAAAAAAGACATCTCAAATCTGAACCTCCCCTTCCTTCAGCTTATCGTTGCCATCTAAAATCTAGAATGGAAGCATCAAGATCCCCTTCACCACAGTTTGCTCCACCAAAGCTGACTGATAAGCCACCTGTAGCTGCTCAGGATGAAAATTCCACAAGGTAAGCCACCTTACACAAACGGTTAAACATTTGTCACATGTTTTATTGTTGGATTTTTTTTTTATTGAAAGTTTTATAAAATTTTACAATATAAATTCCCCCCTCCCCCCAAACCCAACCCTCCATCCCTCCCCCCCCTCACTTCCCAGAGCCAATCACAGGATTAACAATAAAATAATCATAATCTAACTAACATTAATCAACTATTAATCTAACAAATCTATAACTTCCTTTAACTCTCTTTTAAAACAAATATACAATTATTAAATGCCATAATATTAACATAATTTTAAATATCAAAAATAAAAAATTCATTCAAAAACCAGATGATATTTTTTGGTTCCATATTTCAACTCAATATAATCAATCCATCTTCTCCAAACCAATATATATTTTTCTTGTGAATAATCCTTCACATAAGCGGAAATCTTGGCCATTTCAGCTAAGTTTGAGACTTTAACTACCCAATCTTCTGTAGTAGGTAGACCTTTCATTTTCCAATATTGAGCAATTAATAATCTTGCAGCCGTTATAAGATTTAACATCAACTCCATTTCTTTTGCATCCAAATCTTCCAAAATACCCAACAAAAATATCTGTGGTTTAAACTTTATCTTTTTCTTAAAAATATTTTGAATATTCCACCAAATCTTAATCCAAAATACTTTAACCTCCTTACATGTCCACCACATATGAAAATACGTTGCATCTAAATTTCCACATCTCCAACATTTGGGTTGTAAATTAGGATACATACATGACAATTTTTGTGGATCCAGATGCCACCTATAAAACATTTTATAAAAATTTTCCCTTAAGTTTTGGGCTTGGGTAAATTTTACATTTCTAATCCAAATTTTCTCCCATGTTTCCAATAAAATCGGTTCTTGTATATTCTGTGCCCATTTTATCATACAATCCTTAACCAATTCTGTTTCTGAATCCAATTCTACCAATACATTATAAATTCTTTTAATATGTGCTTGAGATTGATCTCTAATCTGTTTCATCAAATTTTCATCCTGCATGGTAATACCAACTTTTTGATCCATACGCCACCTCATTAACAATTGATTATAATAAAACCATGAATACACAATATTTTCTTGTTTCAAATCTACTAATGATTTAAGTTGCCAACTTTGTCCATACGGACGAAGTAGTTCCTTATAAGAAACTTTATCCAAATTGTTGGATTTTTTTCACCAGTTTAATATTAAGGTTTCCAGCCACTGTCCCTACATGGTTTTAGCAGTTTAATGTTAAGCTTCCTAGACAGTTTTAGAACCAGATTATTTTACCTCAGCAAAAATTATATACAATTTATTTATTTCTGCTTTTAAACTTAATTCAGTGCAACGTGCTTAACTTACAAGTGAATCTCATTAACAGTTCTTGAAAATAAGATAGTCATCCAATGACTCTATGACTAATTAAAGAATAGTCCCCATTTCAGGTGCCCTGCCATTCTGGTGGAGGGGGGAGGAGGATGCTTTTGGGGAGCATTCTTTGCATACTTTCGTTTTTGCTGTAATGCTGTAGCTGTTTTGGAATTAGGGAGGGGGATCATCTTTGGAGACAGAAGGACTCCCTCCAGCTGGTTCCAGCCTGACTCCAAGGCCACTGCACCTTGAAGATGACCTGTTATTTGTCCTGTGCTTTGGTGTTCTCAAAACAATCTTGCGGCACTGTATTGACTGCCAGTGGACTGGTCAGGGGGGTTGGGTTTCAAAGTGGGAAGAATAGCTTGGTGCTTTGCACGAGAATGTTAGATTCTGCTTGACTTTGCTGCAAACACTGTCTTTCAGTAAAAGTTCTTTTGATTAACCACATGGAATCAAGAGTCGTACTTTCCTGAGAGGGCCAGTTGGGGCAGGTCCTTACATTAAGCAGAATCTGCAATAGTGGTCAACATGGAGAAGCACCCACCTCTACTGTGGGGACCATGCAAGGAATGTCTGCAAAAGGCAGCAACCAAGAGGAAGCTGAGTGCTGGGGGGAAGCCTCTGCCAAGGCTAACCTCGGGGCAGACCTCTCTGGCTGGATGGAAGAGGTTGCTAGCCTGGGAGATTCATCAAAACCCAGGTGATCCATTGGTGTTGGGAAAAAGGATGACTGGGAAGGGAGAACTAAAGGAGTGACTCTCATCTGAGCCGAGACACCTGATGATGCAAGTGGCGAATGGAGCTGGAAGAGCTTAAAGCTGAAAAAGAAGAAAGCGGCAAAGTCAATCACACCAACTTCCTCATGAAGTAAGCCATGCGCACCATGATGGAAGCATTCCAAAGGCTCAAGGCACGCAAGACCCTAGCCAGGCAACTTCTGGGAAAACTCATCAAACCCAGGAGGAGGAGGATGGCAGGGGAGCCTCACCACTAGACACCATTGCAGGGGTCTCAGCAACACCAGCCGGAGCAGCTGCAACTTTGGAAGCAATGCAGGGTGGGGTCATGCCAGAACCACTGCACTGGGAGGTGCTGGAGCCACAAACCCACAAAGAAGAAAAGCCCCACTGCTGTGTGTGAACTTTGACAGGGACTCCCAGCAGCTGATATTCTTCCTGGCCCATGTGCTAACCTACATTCAGGAGTACAGGCCAAATATCCCTACCGAAAGTGCCAAGATGAGGTGTGTTACATTATCTTTGGAAGAAGCAGCTTCCCATTGGATGGTAACTCTCCACAATGCGAATGCTCCTGATTTGAGGAACTGTGATTGTTTTATGACCGTGCTCCATCATCAGTTTGTGGACCCTCTCACTGATCAAAAAGCCAGAGACCACATCAAAACCATAAGGCAAGGGCATGGAGCAGTAGCAGAGTACACCAAAGAGTTCCATGACCTGGCTTGTCGATTTGATTGGCCAGAAGACATCAGCTGTTTCAAAGAACGATGACCTATACAATGCTTGTGTGATGAGAGGACCCCCTGCAACCCTGTACAGCTGAAGAGGTGGAAAATGACCAAGCCCACAAGAAACACCAAGCGGTGAGGTCCAGGAAGAAATCCCCTCTAGAGACAAGAGAAACGGCAAAACCTCAACCTTCACAAGCCAGATCAAGGCTTGCTTAAAATATGGCCAAGAGGGTCATCAAGCCACTGAATGCAAAATGGGCTGTCCAGCCAAGAATGCCAGCCCAAATCCCACAGGAAAACCCTCTAAGGTGCAACCACAGGCCAAAGAAATGGCGCTGAAAGGACTGAAGGTCGTGGAGTTCACCCCCTCACCTAAAAGAGCAGAGGGAACTCTGACCCCACCAGAGGATGGCCAGGGGTTCACAGACACTGACTCAGACGACGACCCCCTGGTAAATGACCCGATCATGCTAGTGATGGTCCGTATAAAACTGAGCTTCCCTGGGTCCAGGTTGAAGGCTAACCTCAGAGCCCTATTAGATTTGGGTTGCACCAGATGCTTAGTAAATCCAGCACTGGTCGAGAAGCTGGAAATTTGACTGAGACGGTTAAAAGTGCCAGTGGTGTTTTGTCAACTGGACAGTTCGGTCACACGGGGCATCCCAGCCACTTCTGCCACCGAACCCATAAGAATGCAAATGGGGCTCATTCAGAAATTATGAGCTTCATAGTAGCACCTGGGATGGAGAGACCCCTAATTCTCGGGCTAGCTTGTCTAAAAAAGTGGAACCCTTATGTGAACTGGAGAAACAGACTACTAAAGTTTCAAATAAACCGTTCCTCCCAAACCTGAAAGGAACCTATTAAGGCAACTACCCCAAAGTGTGAATTAGGGGCAGTCATGCAAAGGAAGGACCTTCCTGTCATTCTCAAAAAGTATTGAGATCTCCGAGAGGTGTTTAGCGAGAAGAGTTCGGATGAATTTCCCTCTCATAGATCTACTGACTGTACTATAGAAATCCTGCCCGTTGCCAAATTGCCAAAGCTGAAACTATACTCAATGACCCCCAGAGAGCTAGAAGAACTCTGGTTATTCATTGATTAAAAACCTAGCCCAGGGCTTCACTCAACCAGCGCGGCCACTGGTGATGGCCCCAGTCCTGATCCGAGAAAAAAAATGGGGCCCTTCGTCTATGCGTGGACTATAGAGGGTTAAATGCAGTGTCTGTGGAGAACGTTCCTACCTCTGATGAAAGATGCTGGCCCACTTTGCCAAATTCTTTACTAAACTGGATTTGTGGAAGGCGTATTACGGCATGAGAATCAGAGAGGGAGGATGAATGGTAATGGCCCTCTGGAGCGCTTTCCTATCTGCTACTGTGTAGCAAGCAAACCACACACAAATGCAATAGGTTAGAATGCTCTCTATGGAGCAACGGTAGAAGGTCACCAGCAGTTTTTCCATTCAGTTGTTGTTTCCTGAGAAGTCTCAAAAATATAATCTCTGCTGGGCCTTAACCAATGCTATAACATGAGCACTCCAGGTCAGGTCCTCCTTTATGGTAACACCCAGAAACCTAAAGCTTGCCACCCGCTCCACACAGTCCCTGCTGATGATCAGGGACTGAATGTCTGATCTATTCCTCCTGTAATCTACTATAAGCTCCTTGGTCTTAGTTGTGTTGAGAACCAAATTATTGTCTCTGCACCACAAGAGCAACCGCTCCACCTCATTCCAGTAGGCAGACTCATCCCCCTTGGAGATAAGCCCCACCACTGTTCTATCATCCGCAGATTTAACAATATTATTGCTAGGATGAATGGGAGTGCAGTCATACATGTAGAGGGTGTAAAGTAGAGGGCTCAACATACAGCTGAAGAGATATAGTTGCCTAATCTAACCCTCTGAAAGCGGCCAGACAGGAAGTTCATAATCCAAAGGCAGATTGAATGTGAAAGTCCGAGATTGACAAGTTTAGACACCAGTGTATATGGAAGAATTGTGTTAAATGCAGAGCTAAAATCCACAAAGAGCATCCTTACATCAGTCCCCCGCTGCTCCAGATGAGTCAGAGCAGTATGGAGAGTGATGGCTATGGCATCCTCTGTGGATCTTTTTGCTCTGTATGCAAACTGGTGACTGT